AGTCAAAGACTCCATTTAAGGAGTCTGAAACTTGATTTTCACAGATATATTATATGACTATATATGAATTATTTTACAGAGCTAAATAATCCTAACTTTAAATCTTTAAAATGCTGTAACCAGACAAGTGGTTTGCAGCATATTGATGCAGGGGGTCTGAATCTGTGTGTATACATTTCTGTTTTTTACTTATAAAACCCAAATCATTTGGTGACCTACTCCCTTAAGTCTTCATGCTTTTGATCCTGTCCTCACTTATAGTACTTAAAAAGAAAATATATTTGTTTGCTCACAAGTCTCTTCTGTCTGATCTTATTGGAATAACCACTGAGTTTAATTTAACAGAGAACACCGACCCTCAAAGAACTATCCATTATAGTAGATTTTTATTAGAAAATGCTTTAACAGCTTTGAAATTATCTGACCCATTGTTAAATTATTTGGTAACAGAAAAACAAAGAAGGGAGTAGAATCTTGTATTTGCTGATGAATCAATTTTGTTGTTGATTGGCATACTATATCCATGCATGTAGTCAGAACTGGCCCCTTTAAAAAAGTAGCCAATTTCATTTTTATCTCTAAGATTAGAATGTAATCTTTGTTAGGTGTAATATCAGTCGATTTAATTCACCAAACATTTTTGTATAAAATCCTGATCTATTTGTCTTGCTTTGAACTTAACCTAAAACCTTTTCTACCCAACCCAGAAATATACACTACTTTTCTATCCAGATAAATAGTATTACAATAAAACATAAAAGGTTGTGCAAGTTATGTCACTAAACTCCTGTAAATGTCGAGGAAGTATGACTACTTTTGCAAGGCATTTTTTTATTGTTCTGTCAAGCAGAAAAGGTAGACTCTAGTTTTTTTAAATAGTTGACAATGAACATTACAACTATGAAGAACCAAGGAAAACATAACAATTTAGAGCAGTTATATGGTAAGAATAAACAAATTGAAGTAATATCTGGAAAAAATTTACTTTCCTATTTTTAAATTCTAACACTTTTCCTCTCTAATTATTTATGCACAACAGAGCTAAAAATTTAAATGAAAAGCTTTGCAGGTGTTGTCTTACCTTGTATGTTCTCACAGCTAAGTGGCATCAATTTCTCAGGAGCACTCAAGAGTAGGACCGACCTGCATCGACCTTTGCACATGCAGGTACTCGACTGTTAACCTCTGGGAGGACAGCACCCTTTAGGATACCTCCACAAGGTAATCAAACTAAATTTGCTCTCCTCACCCAAGCACAAAGGACACTTGCATAATTTGGCAAGGAACTGCTTGCTAAGGTCATAAAGATCTAAAAAAAAAAAAAAAAAAAAAAAAAAAAAGCAGATCAAAGGTTGTGGTCACAGCAAGGTGAAGAAGAACTAAAACCTACAGGACGCAACAGCCAGCAGACGCAGAAACCTGCTGTGTTTGTATTAATTACAGCGGCCCAGAAGCGTTGGTTTGTTGACAGGGACAAACATTCAGCCGGGGGGAGATTTATGGATCCCGTAAGGCAAAAATAAGGTGGGTGTGTGGTGTTGTTAAGATGTTTATCATCTTAAATTGGTTTATGAAGACAGTTTTTTATCAGACAAGCACAATGAAGCTTGTGAGAGAGAAAAACATAGTTACATAAGTTCTGTAGGAGCAGGATAACAGATAACAGATAAAGGCCATTCAAAAGCTAAAACTTGTGCAATCATTCTTTATTTTGCAATTAACACATTTGGAAGATAAAGCTGTTGCAAACAAGCCATCAAGGCAAGAAGACTGTTGATAATTTATAGAAAAGGTCATCAGAACTGATTATTTTATCTGGAAGAATTTAAAAACGTACAAAGGAAATACTACAAATACTGTCTCTCTTTCTCAAGATCCTGAGTATTGCAAGGAAAATCTGCAGGTCCTGAGCTCTGTTTTGTAAGTAAATATAGGTGAAAGTTTAACCGTATTTCTGCAATGACACAAAGTTACCCCACTCACTGAGATCACACCACCCAGTCTCACCACAGCCGTCCTGACCCAGTATCTCTACTGATTCAAACTGGTGAATGATTAGTGAGAAGCTTGATTCTTGCCAAAGACACAAACATGAACTGGAAGTCTGAGACTAAGACAGTTAAAATAAAACATTTAGAGCCAAAAGATTTGTCATAAATGAATATAATCTTTCCAGCTTAAACATTTTCTAACTCACTCAGAGGGGCTAACACCTCCTCTTCCATAGAATAATTTATGATTTTGATTTATAACAGCCTGCAGCCGAGGTGCTGTGCAGATGTGCCAGAATAATAATGTAAGGATTTATTTTGTAAGACTCAATAGTAATTAGTGAAAAATAATTTTGTCTTTATACGCTGTGGATCTAAATACATAGATATAAAGATAGACAGACAGACAGACAGACAGATAGCGTTGGAATGCTGGCAATAGACATTTGTCTGGCAATGTTCCAGAAATTACTGCTTGAGTACTGGAAAGGCTTTGGATGGAGTACCCCTGCTGGTGTTTGCTATCCGAGAAGCTAAGCAAGGTTTTGGTTCTTCTACTAACTTCTAACTCTCCATTATTTGCCCAATTCTGCGGACCATACTAGGTGGATAAAAAAGTGAATGAAACTGATATGTGATTAAAACACCAGATAGGAAGCGAAAAACACGCTTGAGTCATTGCAACTATGCTTAAATCCTTTCATACTGATTCTCTTTGTTGTTCTGCAGAATAGCCTGCTTAGTCGTCACAGCTAAAAAAATCACCAGATATCTCCAGAATCTCTCTGGGTTTTTCCTCAGGCCTGAAAGTGGGTGCAGATGAAGATGAGCTCTGTGAGGCCTGCTATCCGTGTGCAAGAATGCTTCATTCTGAGGTACTTTCTAAGTTGATGTTCAAACATTGAAGTCCTTATATATAGCCATCCAAAGTTTTTTGGTGATATCCCGTCACATACTACAGTGCTGAAGTATGACATCAGTGTTGAATATGCACTGCTTATCATATGAATATGAACAATAGAGAAGTGATAAAACAGGAAACAGATTATCTTCTAGAGCATAGTTTGGCTATACAAAGCCATAGTCTATGGAGCTTTCCTTGCTTGTTACACCTGATCATTTTCTACAATATACAGCGATGGCATATGGAATGAGAAATGCACCTGCAACGTTCCAGAGGTTGATGTCGACTCATGTGGGAAACTGTAAAGTTTATGATGTGGTTGTCTTTACTTTAAACTGGTCTGATCAAGTTGCCACTGTGTTTAAGCGTCTAGCTTAGGCTTCAGTGACTCTCAGCTTGGTGAAATGGGAGCTTGGCAGGGCCACGGTAACCTACCATGGAAAGGAAGGTGGGCAAGGCCAGGTTCATCTCATCAGTGCAAAGGTAGATGCCATAATTACCTTTCCCGTACCCAAAGGGGGCGATGAAGATTCCAAGGTGTGGTCAGAGGTTTCAAAATTATTGATGTTTATAACTCAAGTAGAAGTATAAATCCTTCTGTTATAAATCAACTTAAGCTTTCTTCTCAAGCATAAGTGTAAAAGTACCATTTTAAAACTACTAAAAGTATAAAAGTAATGCAGGAAAAAATGTAGATAACAGAAGCTTTAAACCTTATACTGCGCTATCCTATTAAAAGAACATTTTTCCACAATTCTGGATGAATTGGCAAACTACAAGTTGGTGCAGTATCGAGTCCAACCACAAAGAAATTCATTGTCTGGATGAAATAAATTAATTTAATGTTTATTTTGGGCTGGGCTGGGGTGGGCCTATAACGAAAATTAGCTTAAATGAAATATAACCAACAAGTCTGTAATGAAAATGTAAGGAGTAGAAAGTAGAGTTAACTGCACAAAAATGTAAGGAGTGGAAATAAAAAGTTATCTGAAAAATAAATACTCCAGTAAATTATAGATAGCCAAAACTTCTAATTAAGTAAGGCATTTGTACTTTGTTACTTGACACCTCAGGGTATGGTTTTCTACTATCTGTTTTTGTAAAAAAAAAAAAAAAAATAAATAAATAAATAAAAAAAACTTATCTAAAGTTGTAACAAGGCTGATTAATGTTTGCAGCCCAAGAGTAACATTTATTTGGAGTTTTGCATGTCAGCATACGTTTGACTGTGCTTTTGGTCTTCTATCCAGTGCTCCTGTGCTTGAGCTGTTCTTCAAGATGATGCCCAATGAGTGATGCATCCTGTTTGCTCCTTTTGTGAGAAGTCTAATGCCCATAACAGACAATATTCAACAATTGAAAAGGAGACTCTAGCAATGATTCTGGCTCTGCAGCACTTTGATGTGTATGTGGGATCCACTTCAAAACCTCCAGGTCTTTAATGACCAAAACCTTCTTGTGTTCCTTGCATGAATGTACAACAACAATCAACGACTGATGAGGTGGGCTTTGATCTCTCAAAATTAGAATACTGAAATCAAGTAACATAAACTCTCAAGAGTGCGATTGTGTACAATGTTAACAAACTTTACTATTGTTTCTTATGGGTGGGGGTGTTACATCCCCAAGGTGGATGTCGTTTTGTTTTCACACTGAAGTAATGCCAGTTGGTTTTAGGCTCTGCCTCTTCCTGCTTGGGTGCCGCTTCTTGGGTCTCCGTCAATCAACGATCACCTGCACACCATTTAAGGGCTGTGAAGCTGCACTTTGGGTCCTCTTAGATACTTGTCTGCCATACACCCCTGCTTTTGTGTATATGTACTAGCATTACCATCTGGATATTCTTGAGATTATGTTGTATATTTTTTTTTCACTCTTGAGTAATTTTGATGGTTAAAATTCATATGCTAAAATGATGCTACTTAACCCTCAAACCAGCAAGTAATACTAATTCTCACTGATTTGGTTCAGATGGGCTAAGATTTGTTCTGCAACAGACATCATAGATTAATTTCTAAGACATCCAATGTCTGCAAATTAATTCCCCTCCAATAAAAGGTCCTTGATATCAAGAAAAAAATCACAGGTATTGAACATTTTGACCTTATGCAGTTTAATACTTGTGTCAAATCAAAATACAATTACAATTCTTTATTTAAATCTGTTCATTTTTACATTTGCAAAGATCAACATATTCGCATTTGACGTAATAAAGCATTTTTGTACACATCACAACACAAAGACTTCAGAACAGATAGATGTCATTTCGTGCTTATACAAGTTCTGAAATCAGGCTTAAGATGTAGAAATAAGACAGCAGGTATCCTACTACTGAAGGCCTTCATTTGATATTTCAATATCATTCATTTACAGTTTTTAGCTGCTTAATTACAAGTAGTCTGTTGTAAGACAAATTGGGTTTTTTCCTGTTTTTTCAGTGACTTTATTTAGATTAACAAAAAAATCTGTTGTCACAGTCATTAAAAGCTACTTTTGCCCCAACGACACGATTTCCAAAGTGCTTATAGCTAAAAAGGTGGGATATTTCAACATATAGTGTAGAATCTGTCCTGCCTGATTAAATCTGTGTTATTAAAGACAACCAAAGTTAAAAAAAAAAAACACACACACACTTGAAAGACCTAAAATAAATCCTACTAAACTACAGGCTACAATTAATTAATCAAATTGAGGAAAACATGGTGTCTTGAAAGAATGGCTGCAGACATTTTCACGGTTGTGTGATCCTCTTTATCCTGGTGGCCAGGCCATCTGTCTTCCTCCCAGAACATGGATATGAAGGTGGTACACTGACTGAGATCCGTGTTTTCCATTATTGATCACTGCCAATTCAACGTAGGTCATTAATCGATAATTGAATTAATTTTATTACTGAGAAGAACCTTTAAGCTGGATGAAAATACTTACCCACTCTGTAGCCTTCGCTAAGAGGTTCCTGCTTCGCCACATTTTTAGCAACAACCAACAAATGTCCCAAGAGCTGAACAATGGAGAAAAATAAAGAAGACAGAATATTTTTAGATTTAAAAAAAAGAAGAAAAAAAATCTAAAAAGGTGTTTGGATCTAGAACATCTACATCATATATAAAACTTAAAATAGCTCTTAAATTTAATCTTTGTACATTGCTAATTAATATATAAAATAAGCATATGCTCAACAATTACAAAACGTAGTCCAAACACAAAAATTAGACTAACAGACATCAAATGTGACAAATAAGCAAATACACAAGTAAATGAAAAATGTTTCAATTAATAAAATAAAGAAACTGCAAGTTAAGAAAAGCTGCAGAGAAACTCCACTAAATGAAAGGGATCAAAACCAGTAGTAGAGGAACAATCATGGGCTGATATGGTACCAAACCACAGACATTACTATGATCTGGTTACTACGGACCAAATCCATTGCATTACACAGTAAGAAAGAAAAGGTTTGTTTTCCTTTTAATCTTTTTTAAACACTTCATCTCTCTGGGTATCTTGTTTATGTCTTTCTTAGTCTGGTCCTAAATGAGTTTGAGATCATCTCCCCCTGGTGGCCAAAAGCACTCCTGTCACCCAGAGCTCATTTGCAGCTTTTCTTAACTTACTGTTGTTTTGCTAGTTACAATTTTCTACTTTGCATGTGTTTGTGTTTTAGCATCATTAATGTGTTTAATGCTTTTTCATAAAATTGCACTTCTGCTGTTTTTCTATTTTCTAGGTTTGCAACATTTCTCTTTTGCAATGTTGTTACTTTGCCTGTGTTTAGCATTAAATTCATTGCTGTGTTTGCAGTACTTCCTGTATTTGCTGCATGTTTATATATTTGCACCTCCCAGCCACCATAGAATTTCTCAAAATGATTCAACAAACTGTACCAGAACCAAATTAGAAATTAAAGATTTTCTCCAAATGGGCTTTGTCTCTTTATGTTCTGCATATGTTAAAGTTACAGTAAGTAAATTTTCCAAAATATATAGAGCTGTCCTTAAAATATATTTGAGGTAGGGACCATAGATGTCACAGATAGACAAATATGAATATCTGGAGTGGATCACTACAGACCATTTTTACTCTTATCAGATGAGCTAAGTTCTTTTTATGGAAGAAAATCATTACCATATTTCAAATGAAAAAGCATTTTCAGAAATGCTTTTTAAATTTAAGAATGTGGCTGCATTGTTTGACTCATAAATGAAATTAGTAATCAATAATCCTGTTTGCATTTTATTCTTTAACACTGCTCATCCTTTTACTTAATTAAAATGAAAAAGACATTTGAGGAAGAGCTCTTCCTGAGGAAAAGCGGCTGCTGATGTTACTCTGCTTCACCCACCGCTCAGAATGCTTTTCCGTTTTTGAGTTATGGACAGTACTTTGCTGGCAGACCACGAAAACGAAAAAGCAACGTCTGCTATGTTTTCTCTTTGATTGTGGCATAAAATTTGCAGTCTTAAAGAAAAAAGTGCAAATGCACATAGGATGATTGATTACTCATTTTATTTATTAGTCAAGTAATGCAGCCGTATTCTTAAAATGAGAAAGCATTTCTGGAAATGCTTTTGCTTTTTCAAATTTTACATTTCAAATTGAATTTTGGTATGTATTTGCTGGGGTAAATTTTGAAAAATAAATCTCAAATGTCTTTTTCTTTTTAATTAAGTAAAAGAATGAGCAGTATTAAAGAAGAAAATGAAAATGCAAACAGGATTATTGATGACTAATTTCATTTATGAGTCAAACAATGCAGCCACATTCTTAAAATGAAAAAGCATTTCTGAAAATGCTTTTTCATTTGAAATATGGTAAAGATTTGCTTCCATACTTTTTAGAATGTTTGGCCTACTTCATTGTGTCAGACAGGTCCTGTGTAAGTAATGTCTTGATACTTACGAGTATAGCAGGAATCTTGCCCGAGTTGGGCAACTAAAATTTAGCTCAGCCTTATAAAAAAATATATCAATCAAGACACGTTAAGGTTGCTCTTTCAGATTGCTTCTTTTCCATTAGCTAATTAAACCACGATTTGACATTCTTCAATTTAATTGTAATTCTATTGTTTTTATTTTTTTGTTTGAATTATTTTTATCTTAGGCAAAGTTAAAGATAATTACAGAAGAGTGAATTCTACAGGAAGCAGAGCTTCATACCTCTGCATCATCATCTTCGGCTGCACTTATTCCAGGAATAGGGGCCCTTGGAATGACCAAGAAGTGAACAGGGGCCTGTGGGTTGATGTCCCTGAATGCCAAACACTAACAAGACAAAAAAACAAAAAACATAAAATAGTGTTATTTCCGATAGACTGGACCATGTGAGTTCTCTATGTGTTGTTTACCTTGTCATCTTCATAAATAATATCTGCAGGGATGCTTTTATCAATCACTTTGGAGAAGATGGTTGGACCTGGAGAGCCATACTTTCTGCTAGCCTCCTCTGCCAGCTTCACCTCATCGCTTTTGGTGCAGAGTGATCTCTGAAAGTTTTGACAACAGGCAGATTTGAACATTTTTGTACTATAACCAAATGAAGAGCGCGTTTAGTCGAGGTTAATGTGTTAATGCGTCAAACCTCTTGGGGGTGGGATACTGAAGGTTTCCCACAGCCACCGACAGAACTACCAGAGTTTTTGTTGTGCAAAAGCTCAGCAACATTAAGCGAAATGAAAATGTTTATGATAGTAAAGAAGCAGATTGGTTTTAGGGCAGCTACCTGGGCTCCATAAACGCGCTGCACAGGGTTAAACAGGAGGACTCTGGCTCCGACCAACTGTGCTCGAAAAATATTACGAATATACATAGCTAGCTAACTATTATTGCAGTTCACTGCTGGAAAAGCTGAACTTTGTTACCATTGCAGACCAAACTCAGAAACTCCAACCCTAAATTCGCCGAGGTAATGCTACATTCAGGTACCTCACGTAAAACCCCAGCTTAATGGAGTATTGCTGTTAGACCTGTTCTGTTTAATTTACATCGGGAACTTGCTAATGAGCTTTATAAGTCAATTTGATTTACTTTTTATACATCGACCCCCTTTTATCAAAATGTTGTTCAACGCAAAAGTAGTAAATACGAATCTTCTCACCTGCTAATATTGTTAACGCAAATATCCGACATATTTTAAATGACACTAAAGGCGACACTTATGACGTATGCGGGGTTACTTCAAGAACAGCAGTGTTCAAATATGCAAAATAAATCCAAGTAAGTAAACAAATAAAAAAAAATTAATTAATAAAAATACAACTACTGAAAATCAGATGAATTGTATGGAGGAACAAGCAGTTCCTGCCTAAACCAGAGAGTGGCGATAGCTTCCGCGTCAGACTCTTCTTCTTCTTGAGTTTTAATGACGGTTAGCAAGCAACAGTTTGTCGCATTACCGCCACAATCCAGTAAGAGTGTAGACCAGGACTAACAACCTATAAAATAGTAATAATAACAATCTCTATACTATTTTCCCCAAACCGGTAACAAACTAAAAAAAAATTCTAATAATTTCTTCTAATATTTCCTAAAACTATACATTACATATTGTCTCCCTTTCCCATTATATATGTAATGTTGAGTTAAGTCCTCTGTGTCCCAACCTTAATCTAGTTACTATCCTTTCCTTAATCCTACTTCTTCCTATCTAGCTTATTTCCTTCAACCTTTCCTTGTATTCTTTAAAAAGACCCTCCTTTAGTATCATCTTTCTACAATTTTCTCATTTCTGTTTAGTTTTCCTTTTGATAATGCTCTTAACCTCTGGTTAACTAACTGCCTCTCTAATATCATTCTCACTCCAGTTTGTGGATGTTTTTGCTTTTTTATATGTGCCATTTCATTTCTCTTTGGCCCTATATGTGCAGGAACCTAAATAAAAACTACCATTAATCTTGTCATCTGAATGCAATAAAGTATTTGTTAAATTTCCCACAGTATACCTGGACAGCTTTCTGAATGAATTGTTTGTAGAGCGATTAATGATTAATTTGAATCTGAGCAAATCAAGGCTCTTAATGGTTTGACATCCCCAATGCAATCTATTACCAGCATTATTGCTATCATTTCTGCAGTATATATATATAGATAAGACTTTAGCTTCCTCCCTATGTTGATTTTGAATTCTGGATCTATAACTGCTACCACTGTTTTACCAGATGAATTCTGGGACACATAAGTATATAGTATAGAAAATGTTCTATATAGTCTTGTACTGTTATCGGATTGATAATAAATGTTTATCTTTATGTTTTCTATCTAGTATAGTTAAGTCAACTACAGCATCAGGTTGGCGATTTTGCTAAAGGCACAGTTGGACTGATATTTAAATCATTTAACTCTAACTCTGTAGCCGTTTGTAAAACTTGCAAACTAAATGATTTATAATCTGCTCTTTCCTTCTCCCAGCAGAGCTCTATAAAGTTGACTGTTCTGACTGTGTCCCTGCAGACTGACCCAGTAGTTTAATGAAAGCTGAATCCTTCTTAATGCAAATGGAATTTCACCAACCTCTATCTATAAACCAGAGGATGGAGTTGTTCTAATTGTTCCTGTAATTACTAATAAAGCTTGATGTTGGATGATATCTAGTTTTTGTTAGTTCTGTTTCAGACACTTATCCATAAACTATCCAACCATAATCAGTTGTAGCATGTAGATCATTTTCAGAGTCTATCTGCCCCCATTCATACCCAACTACACATCTCAATATATTTAATATTTGTTTATATTCTCTATAACCTTTTCAATGTGTATTTTCCAGATTCATTTTACATCAAATCAAATCCCTAAGAATTTACATGGTTTTTCTCTTTCAGGTTCTCGATTACATATCTTTATATAACCTGATTCATTTTTACTGGCAAATAGCCTTACTTTTGTTTTAACAACTGATAATTTAAAACCCAATTTATAAGACCAAACTCTATTTTGTAAATTGCTTGTTGTACTTTTCCAGCAATATATTTAAACTTTTTCCCATCGCCATTATCAATGCACACAAGATTTTTAGACTCCATTACCAACTCATTAACCAGTCCATTCCCATCTGTCCTATAATCCCATATTGAGCTGTGAGTGCTGAAATTACCAGATTAACTTTTCATTTAAATCTAAAATTATTTTATCCAGTAAATTTACAAATAATTGCTTACAAAAATTATTTAAAAGTAAAGTATCAGCTAAAACTTTTTTTGTTCATAATTCAATAGCAATATATTCAGGTGTTTTTGTCCTTTGCTAGAAGTCTATACTGCAACCCTGTTTAAAAGAATCATACATCCACCTCCATTACCCTCCTCTCTATCCCTTCTAATACTATGATAGCCATCAATAACAAAATATAACGTAGCCTTTTTTCCCCCTCTGATTTGCAAACAACTAGCAAATTTCCGTCTCTCAATGATTTTGCCATTTCAACTTCCCCTATTTTCTTTTTCAAATCTGTTAAAACTAATATTGGGCTCAGATTGATTTTGATTTTCTCATGTTCTTTCTTACATTTTTATTATTCTCTTTATTACTTCTCTATAATCTTCTATAATCCGATTATATATATATATATATATATATATATATATATATATATATATATATATATATATATTTATATATATGTATGATATACCTGCTGCACCTTTTCCTTTTGACACCTTCTTTTTGACTTGAGATTTCTCCACTCCAATCGGTATATGTATGGTCTCGTTATATATATATATATATTTACATTTTGTTTTTTTTTTTGTTTTTTTGTTTTTTTTTAGGAAAACAGCTTTACATTATAGAATGTGGGGACATTTTCAAATTCTGATCCACACTCCTATTCAGAAGGTGGCGGTAATGCGCACCTAAACGTTGCTTGCTCACCCCATTTAAACCGAAGAAGAAGAAGCTCTACCGTAGATCTATAGGAAGAAACATGGCGGCCCGCACAAGGCTGTCCTTGCTTCTCCCTAAAAGTTTACACCCGCTCAGAACCCACAGACATGTACACACCGAAGCAGCCGTAAAGGAGCCTTCTTATCCACCCATAGTCGCCTCACTGACGGCTAAAAGCAAAGCTGCGCGGCTGCGGCAAATCGAGGAGCGAGTTAAAAAGATCTGCGCCTCTCCCTTGGACGAGAAGCTGTCCCTCATCACTCGCATCCAGCGGATGAAGTTTGTAGTCTACCCGCAGACATTCGCTCGTAACCCGGACAGATGGCACCAGCACTTCACTAAAACCGCATATATCCCCGGCCTGCCGGAGAAGTTTTCCCCAGGAGCGGAGAGCCCTCCTGCAGCCCAGGATCACACAGCTGCCACGGGAATCGACGATGCTGCGTTCAGTGAGATCCGTGACCTCGTCACCCGTGTGATTTTACACGAGCACTGGCACAAGGTGAAGAAACGCAAACCGTTTCTGTATA